CCATAACTCCAGTTATGGTGTGCTGCTACAGCACCATGTGTTGTACTGCAATCCAGGGGCTGTAAATGTGTATTGATCTCATTCATTGGGGACTTCAAATGAACTTTCAATAGGTTTTATTCCAATGCGTCGATAAAAAGTATATTTTGTCTTGCATAATGGCCCAATGGAAATACATTTTTGGGCCTGTAGCAAATAGCATTTTTTTGTTTTGGTTTTTGGAGTTGAGCTAGCCACTAGGAATAAGTGGAGTGATTTACCTATTTCACTTTTGGCAAAAGTCCACCATTGTAAAATCTCAAATTTGTTAATTGATCTTCTTGCGGCAAAATGTACTTTAACTTTTGTTTTAAATATTTTAAAATATCTACCCTTATTTCTTCTTGAGAGGGTGTTATTTGTTTATTGGGGTGTATTTAAGGTAGTTTAGTTCATTTCATTTAGTGATCCTTTTTAATTAGGGGTCTATTCACAAAGCTGCCGTAGGCAGGCTGTTCAGCTATTCACTTCAGGCTTCTACGGCTGATTTCAGCCATACACCGACTAAAATCAGCCGTACATCGGCTTGCTGAAGCTGGTTTCGGGTGGGACAAACATGCTCAGCATGTTCGGCAGACCCGAAGTGCAGAAGGAGTTTGACTCAGCCGATCCAACATCTGGATCGGCTGAGCCGAACCTCCGGCAGGCTACTCGCTTCTGTTCGGCCTATTCTCATAGATGTCGAACAGCAGTGAGTGAATAGCCGAATGCGGCCTATTCTGCCCGGTACCTCTGTGGTACCGAGCAGAATAGAAAAACTGTTTAAAAAGTAGAAAAAATAAAATAGAAAACGATTCGGCGGAGCTAGCAGTGACAGCTAGCTCCGCGCAATTGTTTTCTATTGGCCGGGCGGTTTTGCTGCCGTCAGAATAAAAAAAAAAAGCCAGCATAGGAATGCATAGCTAGATTCCTATTGGCTATTTCACTTTGCAATAGCCAAAAAAGGAAATAAGAGAGCAAGATTTCACACCCCAAATAGCAATTGTTAACTGTGTTGAATATTTTCCACCTTAGGGTGTGCTAGTGCCGAAAGGGGAGGGGCTTTTAAGAAATACTATAAACTCTATTGATATAAAAAAATAATATAAATATTTATTAACATTACATGATTATAGAAAGGTAATTTTCTTTAAAACAAATATTATTAAAACATTATTCCACACAGAATTATTGGTATCACATCAAATCCATAGCATAATTATTGTTTTTGTAAAACATGGTGGATAACTCATTCGGATAGCCCCAACATGTTTCACCCTACTGGGCTTCTTCAGGGGGAAGTATTTATCATAGAGGAATCCACATAGATTCACACGACACTACTATGTGAAGATAAGAAGGAACCAACCATATCAGGTTTAATTTTCCTGCTTCAGACGAACGCAGTCATGCACGGGAGTCGTGTCAGGAGGGCAAATCGCAGCACCAGGAAAAGAAGGCAACAAAAAGAGACTTAATCCTCCTGTCCCATCGCACTCCTGATCGGACGAAAACCCAAATCCAACTGGGTGGGTGCGGTGGTGTCAACGGATGCCTCCGTGAAATGTAGATAGATGAAAGTAGTCACTCGCACTCCATGATATTAAAGTCAATGCTGTTTATTGACTGAGATAACACACATCTCCTTAGCGACGTTTCAAGACCATGTCAGAGAGTGTTTGCCTGAGGAAGGGGCCACACGGTCTCGAAACATTGCTAAGGAGATGTGTGTTATCTCAGTTTAATAAACAGCATTGACTTTAATATCATGGAGTGCGAGTGACTACTTTCATCTATCTGGCAACAAAAAGAGAAAAAAAACATAACTCATATAGCAAACCTCTGATGCATTCCTCGAGTACCACCTAGAAAATGGCCGCAATTGCGGCCATTTATATGCTCCTCATGAGTTGAATCAACTCAATTGGAATAATTATGTTTTAATAATATGTTTTTTAAAGAAAATGACCTTTATATAATCATGTGATGTTAATAAATATTTCTATTATTTTTTTTATATCAAGAGAGTTTATAGTATTTCTTAAAAGCCCCTCCCCTTTTGGCACTAGTACACCCTAAGGTGGAAAATATTCTACACAGTTAACAATAGCAAGATTCCTATTGGCTATTTCACTTTGCAATAGCCAATAGCAAACTAGCTATTGCACCCGCCCTCTGCTGCTGCCAATCACCAGAAGGGGACCTGATGGAGAACTGCAGGTCCCCTTTTGCTGATTGACAGTAGCAGTGGACGGGTGCAATAGCTAGTTTGCTATTGGCTATTGCAAAGTGAAATAGCCAATAGGAATCTAGCTATGCATTCCTATGCTGGATTTTTTTTTTCTGACTGAAGACGGCCAGGGGCCCCATGTCAGAAAAAAAACAGTTTGCAGTTCGATCGAGCAGAGTAAACCTTTCCGGGAGAAAGTGTTTCTCTCCTGGGCGGCCAGGAGCCGTATTAGACTCCCAGAGCGTCCGGGAGAGTAATGACAGATCAGCGTCCCTGGTCACCAGGTAACCAGGGACGCCATCTGTCATTACACACTGAGAAATATTTGTATTTTGCCTTCCCCTTACTGTCTGTCCCTCAAGTGAGTGATGGAGGAATGGACAGGGCTGGGGAAATCCCTGTGGGAAGCAGTGACTTACAGTCACTACTCTGTGCAGGGAGGAGACCCTGACCTGAGCGATCAGTTACATGACCGTTCAGCTCTTGTTATGCAGACATGGCATGTGATAGCTGAAATATTCCATTCTCAAGACTTCTCCTTTAAAGTTCACCGAGGTATATTTTCACATTTTATATACAAAGACACACTCAAGACTGTTTTTCTTTCATTTATTTTTGAAAACTCATACAAATACTGATACAAATGTATTTACTTATCTACCTGCCACACAGCCCATTATTTTAGCTACATATCTCATTGATTTATCTGCAAGTGTGTTTGAGTACTATTATTTCCCTGGTACTTTCATGGACACCATTTATGATTTTACAGGCCACCAGCCAGCTCTCCATGGCATGTCAACCACCGGTATGGCATGTAATACCTCTGTTAGTCCAGATGCACATTTAGCTGACTGCCCATGCCTTGAATTTCCCTGTGAAATGATTGGACTACATTTGTAATTATCTTCATCACTGGCTGTCAGGTTGTGGTCTACCTTTCTGGAACCTGGACTCTGTGCACTTAAACTGTCCATCAGCCTGCTGACTCCACCACTGTCTGCTACTGCTGTGCCCATTTCTCTGAGGACTTACACCACTTTACCATCTGTCCTGCTTTAAGCTAGGTATTCTTTCTAACAACACAGAGGTTTAAACTGACTCTGTCAGGGCTATTGACAAAAGGGTGGAGGGTTTGGAGAAGGCCGGAGAAGTGAACAATCTAGGACAACATAGCTGATTTGGAAAAATTCTCCAATTCAGCTCACTTTCCAGTTCAGCTATGTTGTCCTAGATTGTTCACTTCTTCTGCTTCCTCCAAACTCTTCACCCTTTTGTGAATAACCCTGTGTGTTGCTATAAGTGACAAAAAATCCATCATGCTTTCAAATAAGTCATTGCAAACTTTTTTCTTTAATATGCCATTCATCATTTACTGAAATGCTAAAATGTTACATCAAACAGCCTTCATTTTGGCCGATATACCATTCAAACCTGGCATAAATTTTCCTAACTTGTATGCAGCTATTAAACTTGATTGATAGCTTAATTGTACTTGTGCTATGGTTTATCTTGATACAATTAGTTGTTTTTTTGAAATAAAAAAAGGGTTTGCCCAATTTGTAGTTTAATGTCAAGGTTCTTTTTTATTGCATGTGTTTTGCACTCACCTGTCCCTTTCCTCCTGTACGAGTGTGTCCAGCCAATCAGAGGTTGCCAGCACCACAGACAGACAATCTGCAACCAGTCACTGTCTTAAAGGGCTAGTGCATGTGTTGCTTGGCATTTGAGCAACACCAGTTTAGTTGCCGAACCCACCAGCCTCTCCAGTGTTTGTACCTGTGAATTCTGGTGTACTCCCCCTGTAAATCCTTGTATAATTCCTCCGGAGAATCCTGTGTACTGCAAAGGAGCTTCCAGCCTTATTAAACTTGTAGGCCCTGTGTACTCCAAGAGAGCTTCCAGCCTTCTTGGACTTTACCTTTTCAGCACTCCCACACTGCCTATATTCTATAGGTTGAACTCAATGGACTTTGTGTCTTTTTTCCACTTAACTATGTAACTACGTTACTCCCGATTCATCATTCAGCCATTTATGTGTCTATGGCAAATGCATGCCTGTATATTATTTTACATGTTGGATTGCTAAACACAATAAAGGGGGGAATTCATAAACACTGGAGCAGATTTGCACTGCAGCCAATCAGCTTCTCTCTCTCGTTTTCAAATCTTACCTGAGCAAACTGAAGAGAGATGCTTATTGGTTGCCATGGGCAACTGCTCCAGATTCAGTTTGCTCCAGTTTTGATAAATTCCCCCCAAAGAGTAACATGCAAAAAAAAAAAAATTGTAAAAATGGCCTTTTCAGATTTTGCTTTTCTATTTTATACCCACACTTCCTTCCATGAAAGGTCCTTTGTGTTGTATACATTTGTTAACCTCCCTGGCGGTATGATTATTTTTGATTTTTCGGCGTTTTTTTTTCGGATTTTTTTCGTTATTTTATTTCTTCGTTTTTTCCGGGTTTTTTTTCGAATTTCCCGCCGGTTCCGCCCCCATGCGACGCGTCAGCTCGCAAGGGACAGAACCCGGAAGACAGATGCCGGCGCCGGCCGGAGGACACCGCACGGCTCGAGGGGCAAAGTAAGTAAATACAGTGGGATATTCCCGAGTGTAGCTCAGGGTATGGAGAAGGAATCCCGAGCTACACTCGGGAATACCGCCAAGGAGGTTAATATGCATGGAAAAAAACAGTTGTAACCCTGTAGTATGAGCAATGGCTATAGTATTAAACCAATTATTCATACAGTTATTATATAATTTTCCCCTGAACCTTCGAAAAAAAAATTTGATGGTTATGTATACTGCATCTGAAAGCTTCATTAATATCTTTATTTCTCAAGCTGTAAATAAAAGGATTCAAACATGGTATTAACACAGTGTACAACAGAGACAGCGTCTTAGTGATTATCTGTGAGTGTTCTTCATTTGGAAGAATATACATGATAATTAAAGTCCCGTAATACATAGACACAACCGTTAGGTGGGAACTGCACGTAAAAAAAGATTTCCGCCTTCCTGAAAAGGATGATATTTTTGATATGGTTACAATGATAAACATATAAGAAATGACTATAACAAGGAATGGCAAAACTAACACGGGGATGGACAACACGGTAGCTTCTAACTGAACTACAGAGACATCGGAACAAGAAAGTTCCATCAATGGATTAAAATCACAGAAAAAACCATCAATGGTATTTGGCCCACAGAATTGTAGTTGGCTTAGGGCAAGTGTTAAAATTAATGCAACAGAGCAACTCAATAGCCAAGATATCAAAACCAATCTAATGCAAAGCGATTGGTTCATAATAGATACGTAATGCAGAGGAGAACAAATGGCTAGATAACGGTCATAGGACATCACCGTCAGAAGAAAACATTCAGATGTTCCTGATAAAGCAAAAAAATAATACTGTGTAATGCAGCCAGAAAGAGATATGGAAGCTTGTTCATGTAGTATAATATTTAGCATTTTAGGGGTAATATCTGTGGTCAACATTAAATCAGTCACAGAGAGCTGGGTGAGGAAGAAGTACATGGGAGAATGGAGGATCTTGCTGTAGGTCACCAGCGTGATGATCAGGAGGTTTCCGCATATTGTCACAATGTATATCTGAAGAAGCAATGTGAACAGCAGTAAATGAAATGTGCTTTTATTATAGAACCCTAAAAAGAAGATCGTGGTGACATTGCTTTTATAGGCAGCCTGTGTGGTATGAAAAAAATAAACATAATAAGTAGTAATAATAAGTTTGGTAAATAAGCACAGACAATTCTCATAATACAAAAGAAAATATACAAATAATCGTCATCATCACCATCATCATCATGACATTAAACAAAAAAAGAGGGTTTGGATGGGATACCTGGATACATTCTCTTAAGCATACTGATAGATTTTTAAAAAATGCTGTTTAAATTATGCTAAATAATAGAGCAAAAATATATTTTTTAAATTGTTACAGTGTATGTCAATCCAAAACAAAAAGTGTAATATATTACAGTTTACCATTTCTAGGATGCAGGTGTTTTTTTCTTCTTTTAGGCTAAGAGATTTTCTGTAGTCCTATGACACTTCCTATCCTAGGGTGAAAATACTGCTCCCTTATAGATACAGTACATTCAGTGAGTGTTATAATTAAACCAATTTAGTTGCGCTAGGATAGAATATACCCAGTCACCAGCTGCAACAATGTATATAAATACTGATCAGTAGAGGCTAGTATGTTGCGCTTGGTGTTATTTGTTCCACCTATTGTTCATTTTCTCGTGTATATCGTAAATGCTGTAATAATTTATACCCTTGGTGAATATAGTAATGGTGAAAACTAATAAAATAATAAAGATAATGCTGAAAGTTAATGATGAATATATATATGAATATAGATAGAATTAATCACTCAACAATAAATGGTTTAAAGTTTATTATTTATTAAGTTTAATAGCAATCACAAGACAACCATCACCAACCTTAAAACTTTCATCATTATCTTTATTATTTTATTAGTTTTCACCATTACTATATTCACCAAGGGTATAAATTATTACAGCATTTACGATATACACGAGAAAATGAACAATAGGTGGAACAAATAACACCAAGCGCAACATACTGGCCTCTACTATTCAGTGAGTGTTGTCACCCTTGGGCAGGAAGTGTGTTATTAGCACAATCACCAGCTAAAACATAAAGAATAAAAGTATGAAGAAAGAAAACTAATGCCGCTCATCTAAAGAAACATTATATCACATTTTTGTTCTTTGGTTCAGATATTCCTTATTTACTGAAGAACTTTAAACATTATGGGGTTTTGCCATATTTAGAGTGTACTAAATTAAATGATGTCTGTGAAGGGTCCCATTCATCCAGGTTAGGGTATAGATGGAAAAAAAAAATCAAGGCAACTGGACTTGCTGTATTTTTCTTGTAGATATTTTGCTAGTCATCTGACTGAGCTTACTCTGTTCTGAATTTCTCTTTCTCTGATTTCAGAAAGCTGGTCAGATCAGCAGCGAAACATCTTCAAGAAAAAGTCCAGTTGCTTCAATTAATTTTTTTTTACAGATTAATTCAATTATGTTGAAGGACAAAAAGTACACAGAAAAGAAAGAGATCACACTTACATTTTCCATTTCTGATTTGTGCTGACAATCCATATGGCTTTAAAATTGAAACAGAAACAGAAATAATTGAAACCAGTGTCTAGGCCATGTTTTTAAACATTTTAAACATTTCCATTTGTGAAACAAATGTACAACATGTTTTATATGTATAATTATACATTTAATGTAAGATAGAATATTTTTCACTGCATATTTGCATGTATTGTGAGGGTGTTAGCTCGGCAGCGGGTGTGTGTGCGCGACTCCCTGCATGAGTTCACGCCACACAGAAATTAGACACAGCGTACAAGGATGTCTTCAGGTGAAACACACGTGTGCAGTTTATTTACATTATTTACAAGAAAATATGAGCAAACGAAACGTGAAAATAAATCCTGGCCTTTTGGCCACTTACTATACACACGGTATCCCTCACTACCCACTGGGTGCAACCTTGTGCTGCCTCTAGCACCTATCTCCCTATTCAATAAACTGCCACACAGGCTGTGTCTCACCATACAAGTTTTGCTTTTTTTTTTTTGTCCCCACGCAGGTCAGTAGAAAGCTTCCCAATCTATTCAGAAGTGACACTGGTTCCAGGGTGGAGCAAATCTCTGAGCAGTCTGGGAGTTCTTATAGAGGCCTAATGAGCCAGCTTACTTCAGCTGGGCTCGATACCCCAGCACTCCCAGCACTCTCTCTAGTGGAAAACAATCTGCATACAGCCTGAACCTGAGACAAACATATATGCCATCCTGGATACACCCAGACAATTTTACCTGCCTGCTGTAGCAGTATATATGATTAAATTCATTGAATGTAGAATAAATGAGAGAAGGAAATACAATTAAAACCATTTGGTACATGTACAGTAAATACTAACAATATATTGTACTAGTAGCACTTGTAGATACCATTTCAGATCGTCTATGTCAGCTAATGTAAGTAGAATCACTTCATAGGCCATGGTTATTAAATAAGAATTCCTGTTATTAAAACAAGTGTGTAACATACAGTATATCCCTACAGATCATTTAATTGCACCGTAGAGGGAAAACTAGACCCATCTGAGTTATGTGTGTAATCATTTGAGAAAAATAAAACTTGTTTCATCATTTTCTATAAAATAAAGCTGAACCTTAGGAAAAAGTTAAAGCATATCTAAAGCCCAATATAAAAAATTTAAATTTGGTATATGAAAAGAGTTGGTAATGGCTAGGGATGCACAGATACTTTTCGAGTACCAGTGCAGATACTTGGCATTTTCATGAGAACTCCCAGGGTTGCAGAGGTTGCAGCTGGGACCTGGCTCTGGCACTCCACCACTGTCCTGAAATCATTAGTCTGTATTGTTTTAGAAAAACTGTCACATGACAATAAACAAAAATGTATCAGTACTCGTAATCGCAAAACTGGTATCTGTGGATCCCTTTATTTATATTAATAAAAACAAAATCGTACATTAAAACAGAGATGTACAAATCCCAGGAGCTCCGTGTGATCCTTACACATGACAGTGGCCTCCTAACTTATGAATTTTTCTCTAGTCTAGTCTTAAAGCTCAAAAGTATCGGTACATGTACTTGTACCGAGTACTGTACTTGGTATCTGTGCAACCCTAGTAATGGCAAAGACCCTTGTCAGTTTTTCTTTTCTTTTCTGCTGTCTATGTCTCATCAGAAAGGTTTCCCTTCACTTCCTGTCTTAGAGGTACAGCAGGAAGTAAGAGGCAAATGTGAAGGATATCCCATATTAGTTGTCACCAAAACGTGTTTCTAAAATTGCAAATGTACCCCTATACTTTGGATTTACCATTTTTTTTTGTACCAAACACAATGGTCACAGAGACATATAAAGAGGGTAAAAACTCTCCAGCAGAAACATAGACATTAACAAAAGAAACCTGACAGGGGCTCTACTATTTTCACATTCTAATCAAAACAGTTGCACAGTTGAACTACATATATGTGGACTTATTCACCCAGCCAAAAAATTGTCCCACTGTTTAGTTAGTCTCATTATTATTATTATTACATAGTATGTATATAGCGCCAACAGTTTGCGCAGCGCTTTACAATGTAAGGAAGACATTACAATTACAATACAATTCAAGACAAGATATTAAGGAGGGCCCTGCCCATTAGGGCTTACAATCTAAAAGGGAGGGGGAAGTGATATATGAGGAGGTAACTGTGTGTGGATGAATTGTTTGAGAACGTGATGGTTGAGCGGTTAGGTTGAGGTGGGATAGGCGTCCCTGAAGAGAGGAGTCTTTAGGGACCGCCTAAAGGCAGTCAAGGTGGGAGACAGATGGACAGGTTGGGGTAAAGAGTTCCAGAGGATGGGTGAGACTCTACAGAAGTCCTGGAGACAAGCATGGGAGGAGTTGACAAGGGAGCTGGAAAGCAGGAGGTCTTGGGATGAGTGGAGCGGATGGTTAGGGTGATACTTTGAGACAAGGTTTGAGATATAGCCGGGGGCAATCCAAGGACATAGCCTTGGGGGACTCCTACAGAAAGCGGAAGAGGAAGGGAGGAGTTATGTTCCAGGAACCCCTTCTTATGTCCCAGGAACCCCTTCCAGGCAATATAGTCTTGCTCCTGATCTTCAATGAGTTAGGCAGTATAGTCTGGCCAAAGACACATCCATACAGTGAATATAAAATGTCTACACACCCCTCTAAAAATGCCAGCTTTTGGAGATGCAAAAAACTCAGATCAAGATAAATCAATTCTGATTTTTTCCCCCAGTTTTAACTGCTTCGGGGGCCACTGAACGTATATAAACGGCGGCATCCTGAAGCAGTTTTACCAAGATCAGGGCTGCTGCAGAAGCCATGACCTTGGTACCAGCGATGGCTGTTCACATACAAGTGGTCCAGCAGCTATACTGCCACCGGATTGCTTGCATGGTGCCGCTGACTGTGCTCCCACCCCCGAAGCAGACTAACCCGGGCTCCATTGTTTCCCATGTGGGCCTGGGACCACCACGGAGGGTCTCTACTCTTATAACGGAGAAATATCAGCACACTCCCAGTGGATGATCTCTCCTCTGATCACTGGGCCCAAAAGTGATGTGTATTAGATCACTTCTGGTTTCACTCTGTAATTTCTATGGCTCTTGTGGCCAAAGAAGAAGCTGGTGAAGCAGATCTCTGCTTCATCAGTCTCTTTGGGGTCCCTAGGTGACATTATGGGTCTTACAGACCCCTGATGTCTCCATAATGAGGATCTGTCACATCCTCTTTGCTATTATATAGGGTGCTTGTTGGCCCCCTATGTGATAGCAATAAAGGTAAGTGTAAAAAAGTCAAAAATGGGATGGGAGCACTAGTAAGCAGCCGAACGACATGGTCGCATGTTAGCTCGGCTCCACACCACCCGGGCGTGCAACCACTAATAACCTGCCCACTCAGCCTGCAATCGTGTCACCTCACCCACCCCCGCCACTTCTGGACCCTCGGGCACTCTATGGAACACTACTCCGGGGCTGCACGGTCCAAACAACGAACATCGGCAGCAAAGACCAAAACGCGCTCGGCTCCCAAGATGGCACCCGACCCCCCCTCGCCGGCTCAATCGACTTCACAGGACCTGATCGAGGCTGCATACATCTCATCCCGGGACAGCTTTCCCTCGCAGCCGCCCAGTGCACAGCTGGACAGTGACTGCAGAGATGCGGCTCTCCTTGAGAAATTTAAGCTGCTGCTTCAGAGAGAACAGCAGGCCGCCACTGACAAACTTGCCACTCGCCTTTCTAAAGATATCAAGGAATTGGGCACAAGACTACACGACGTGGAATACAATGTAGATGACATAATTACAGTTGTTGATTCCCACGAGCAAGATATAGATACCGTCAAAAGTGACCTTTACACTGCTCTTCTCAAATTGGAGGACTTAGAAAATAGAAATCGCAGGGGAAATCTTCGTATCCTTTGGGGGGTGGTGCCTGAACACATGGAGGATCTGAACGCCACAGTAACCTTCATGTTTCAAGAACTGCTCTCGGGGTACCCGGTTGAGAGGCTTGAAATGGACGGAGTACATTGCGCTCTGGGCCTCAAACGCACAAATGGCCCCCCACGGGATATCATTCTGAAACCCACGTATTATAAAACCAAAGAGGCGGTGATGAAAGCGGCTTGAAAAAAACGCACCCTGCATTTTCAAGATTATGATTACCACATTTATGCTGATTTGGCTCCCCAGACCCTTCAGCGGCGTAAAGCCCTGAAGCCCTTTTCTCACTGTCCTTCTACAACACGGCATCACATATAAATGGGATTCCCACTGAAAGTGACTTTCACCCATGATAAACATGTGTACTCATTCTCCTCTCCTGAAGAAGCTGGAACTATCCT